CTCTTAAAACACAACCCACACCTTCCTGGTGAATCAAAAACCACTTACAAACGGGTGTCAGCACACTCACCGAGCGGATCCCTCTGGGAAGAAATAGGGTAATTAGTGAGATGCTTCTGGGCAGTGGAAAGGCAAAGGTGGGGAAGCGAACCAGTGGGGAGGAAGTGGAGTAAAAGCAGAGAGCCCCTATGGCTGTTCCTCCCATCAGTAAGTTGCTGAATGAAGCTACTAGAAGAATTAAAAAACCTCAACTAAACCATATTGCTATAGCTAAGATACTGTATCAGGACTTCACTGACCTCTAGTCCAGATCTTGCCCCAGGCCTTCCATGAGTCTAGTGACAGATCTCTGAAGAGAAGGTACACAGAAATTATGGTCCTGAGGTTGATGTCATTTAAAGAGAATTATTTACTGCTCCTAAATTAAGCAGTGGGGGAACCAAATATTTGGCTTGTTATTTTTTGCTCCTTCAAATGTTCTTTGTTATGCAGTCTAAGAAATGTCAGGTCTAAGACTTATTAGGACAAAAAAAGCACATGAAGTGATGTGAACGACAGGGCATGGATGTGACAGAGACTGGGTGAGCTATTCGGGCCAAGCTACTGCACCTTCTTAGAAACTTAATCTAGTCTTAAAGCAGCCTGGCCTGGCAGAAGCTAAAAGGGAACAGAGGGATTAAGGCCATGGCCATCTTCCTTTTTTAGCTTTCACACCTACAGTACACTACCCTTCCCTTGGCCTGTCACACTCCTTCATCCCCCTGGCTTAGCTGAGGCCCAGGAATTTTGTTTTATAAACCCCTCTGACTTCCTATAACTCCATCCCGCCTCTCTTGAGGAGCTTGGTTGATACCAAATGGTGACAGGAAAACAGATTTTTCACTGCAATGGATGCAAGCAGTGTGGTGTATGTAGATGATAGAAGAATGCTTTTTGGGTTATTCACTGAGCCCTGAACTAGAAAAAAGATCTACTGTCTTATCTTACAAGTCCCTCTTGCAGCAAAGCTAAAAGAAACACTCAGAAAACCCAGTTAGTTCTAACTTCTCATCTCTCAGCTAGTTGTAGATCTCCCCCCACCTCCATTCCTCCTCCGTTAACTTGTTCGTGGTCCAGTCAGGATTCCTGCTGATCCATCCTCAGCCTGGAGTGCAGGCGTAGGTGAAATAGGAGCCTGCTAGTTCTGTACTTTCTGTTCTTTCCCTGTACCGATTAGAGAGGAAGAAGGAAATATTCCTTAAGTGCAAGGAGTGCCACCTAATGGTCTGTTGGAGAATCCCAAAGCTCCACACAGCCTGCCGTCTTGGTGTTTTTTTTCCATATACGAGCAATATGAAAACACAGAGAGTATATTTTCACACACATACTGAAACGCAACTCTTGTTGTCTTGCCTGTCTATCCATAAACTATGCTTTCAGGGTAATTGAATGTAGAATGTTTGCATTCATATGCAAACGTTTCTTTAAGCTCAATACTTCAAAACAGCTGTAATAATCCAGATCCAAGTAAGAACTTGGGTATTTTAGCCCAGAGTGTAAAATTCACGAATGCTAACTAGCAGGTAAGAAGCAGCTGCTGGAGAGCAGCTGTTTGACTGCTGTCCTTACTGTGTCAGGAGGCAACAATCACATGCTCATAAGGGAATGTAGGTCAGATGTAACCTCAGGAGGTCACCCAGTCCAACCTTTTTGTGGCCTTTCAATTTAAGGTGGCAAAATGCAACAGCTGATACATGGACACTGTGTCCAAGGATGAGCAGATCCAGCAGGGATGAAGGAAACACCTGCAGTGGTAGTTTCCTATCATCCTCCAGTCAGAGCCCTCTGCATCATCCCCTCATCCCCATGAATTGCTCCAACCACTTTAGAAGAGATGTCCATCTCGCTTTTTCTCAGAAACTCATCCTTTCTTCTTTCTTGCTCTTACCCTGCCATACAACGTAAATTGCCTTACTTGAAGAACGTGTAGTGATGCTGTGTGCATGGAAAACACAACAGAACGGAGGAGCTCCAGAAGAACACGAGGAAGAAGGAATCCTTACAAGCCGTTTACTCTCTAGCACATCCTGCTGCTGTAGCCGCAAGAGAAGAGAAGCTGTAAGTTCAAATAGCTACTTTGCACTTCAGGAATTATTCACTAGTTGTCCAGTCACAACTAGGTTCTCTCTAGCCTTCAATTCTGTAAAGATTATTTACCTGGTATCCTTTATTATTAACACTGGTCCACAGGTAGGTAGCACAGCCTGTTCCAAATGAACATCTAGCTCTCTTGAAAAACATTCCTAGAAAGGAGGCTCAGGTAACTAATTCCTACACAGTTTGCGCAGCACCACCCGCCCTACCCAAGAAGCGTTACTTCCACGTGAACATAAAGAGCCTGTTCATCAGCTTATGCACAGGCATTAGGGTTGAACCTGCTGTAAGAATACACTTCCCATGCGACCCAGATATCCCAAGTGAAAACAAATAGTATCTGGACTACCGGAGATGGTAATGTATATAGGAATGCACATTGCCACTTTTAAAACATGTTACAGAGCAGACTATTTCTATTACATATTTTCTTGCAAGACATTAATCAATTTTTATTAGTTCAAAGAAAACTTCTCACTCCTTCACCAGAACTCAAGTATTCCTAGATAACATTTCCATACAGTAAAAAATACTTGAAAATATTTGACCTTCAAGATTTTTTGCCTCATAACCAGTTTCAAGGCAACTTAAGAGCAGCCTCTTATTATAATAATGAAATAGTTAAGTAACCCCCACATTGGTGGTTGAACCTCTAGAAACATTCCAAACAATTCCAGAAGATCACCACAGAATGAGACTGCTTTTGCCTTTAGTTTGCAGGACCATTTGTTGACAAATAACATGCACATGTTTGACCTCTCTCATACCTTTTGTCTTGAAAATCAAATATATGAATTGTTTCTCAGATTTCCAGTCAGGCCACTTATTTTGCAGTTTAGTGAAGCATGTTTGTTCAAGATTCACTACTAGTTTGTGTTGTTATAGACAGTAAACTCACTCGGAACAAAGTCAACTGATAAAGAAGATGAAATTTCTCATCTTTGACCCAAATTTACCAGCATGTTTTAAAAACATACTGGTAGTCATTGTTATAATTGTGGGAAGGACATTATATTAAAGAACAGAATCTTACAAAAATAGCACTCACAGTAACACTCAAAAAAGCAAGGCCATAACCTGTTAATAATAGCCTGCAATAGGTAGCAACTGCAAAGCCTATCCACCCAGCTCTTTTGTCACCTTTATCTCTGTATAAGAGAGATCTTGGCATTGTAATACTTCATTGTAAAAACACGCATGGGCAGAAGTGATGTTTTTCCACAGCTGGCCCAGAATTGCTCAACTGTTTTGAAAACAGATCTATTTTAGGACATTTGTGTATTTGAGACAGGACTTTCCTATAGGTTAAGTTCCCCCCCGCCCCAACAGGCTACACTATTCACTGAATTCTACAGGTCAGTTCCCATATTTGTTTTCCATTTGTTGTTCAAATGAACACCCTTGATGTAAAAGAAGACATTAGGAAAAAAAAAAATCCATCTAACAATACCCACAATCCTCCCTTCTCATTTACTCTTATCAGTTGCAGTGGGAAAGACAAACCAGGAAACTGATGAGAACAATAGTATGGGAAACATCTCTCAAAAAATGTTACATGATGTGAGAGACCATTCATGACATGAATGTAGCCCTCATCTTAAAAACACAATAGTACAAATACTTCTGAGTAGTACTGTCCTTGTAAATGTGAAGTTTAACCAAGAACACTGACAGATACTGCAGTTTTAAGAAAGGAAGCAAATAGAGTTTTAGAATCAGTACTTGAGGAATTTAATTTTCCACAGAAATGCAATAAAAGTGAAACTATACTAAAAATATGATGAAAGAGGCAGAGGTTGATGCAATCAATATTCACCAACGCCTGTTTTTACAGGGAAATTTAGGAAGGAAAGGTGTTAATACAGAAAGAATCTATTAAACCAGACTGTTATTAGATGTACAGGTGAGCTCACTGGTGAGTAACACAAGATGGCCACAACTGCCATGTGAAACCCAGGCTTAATGAAAATTTAAAATTCAACATCAATTTATTCAGAATATGCAAGAACAATCTGATTGACATTAAACACCTGTTAGGATCAGTATTTTAAAAAAATATATCAATGTTTTAAAAGCATTAAAGTACCATTTGCCTAATTCCGCTGCACATCAGTTTATTTCCCCATTTCAAAAGGGATCAGCAAGTAATTGATTATATACAGGCAAACGTGTCCATTCAAGACTAATATAGCCATTTAAATTTGTAGCAACAATATATGAAACAGTGTAATTATTTTTTCTCTTTTTAAATAAAAATATTTATAACCAGTTTTACAAGTAAGGCATCAAGCTGTTAACTGTTTAACCAGTTAAATACTTTCAGCGCAGCAAGACAACTGTTAACATTTCCGAAAGTTTATACAGAAAACACATCCGCTCATTCATAACTTTTAACAGCACAACGGTTTTAGTACTCAACTGACTGGCTTGTTGGATGCTAACCACCAAGATGTCTGGCTTCCAGAAGAAGCAAAATACAGACTGTCAGCCTGTGTCAATTTAATGCCATTTTGACCTGTAAAGCACCGAAGTTTAACTGAAAAATCACGGAGGATTTTATGACATGGCCAGGAACAGTCTTCACCAGTATTGCTACCAATATTCCTCACAACTTTTATTTACCAGTAGTGTCAGGATATGGGGGTCAGTTAATTGTGAACATAAAACCTATATCCTAAAAAACTAGTGAGCTTTCAACAGTTAGTGCAAACCATCAGAAAAAGTGGATGGAGAAGCTAGCTGTGATCCTGGACCAAAAGACACACATAAGACACAAGTTCATTAGCTTCCATTTGACCACTCCAACTTTTAAACGGTAGAGCTATTTTCAAATCCTTTTTAAAAACAAGCTCCTCAAAAATACTTACTTTTTTTAATTGAGCCCTTAAGTGTAGGGCCTTCTCCTCATCTACCAAGTGTCTTGTGCTTGATTTCTTAGCACCTTCTTCTTTGCCCTTCTGGATTTTCTCTTTTCCTGCTACAATCCACCCATTAACCATAAATGGATGCTTTGCTATACTTTTGATGCCTGTGCCTCTCCCACCTTTGACAAAAGACCACATCTGAGATTCTGACCCTCCTCTATCTTTTAAAAAATATCACAGATGAGAAGGAGCACTTGAGAGTGTAACTGTGGCTTATATAAAAAAATATACTATTCAAAAAATATGTCACATTACATTGCCGTCAACAGGATAATTCTGTAAATAAAATATTATAGGTGGTTAACTTTAGAAATAGCCAAAAACACTCAAAAAAACAGAGGGGTCTTAAGAACAAAGATAAATTATCAGGATTTTAAAAGTTTTAATTTTAAAAACTGCCTTGAAAATACATAGTTTGGCAAGCATCCACCTTCTCTTGTATTACCCACATTCTGCACCAAGAACATCCACCTATTACATATGTTTGTGCACCTATAAATGCACAAACATCCACTTAATAGAACTTGAGCATTTGATCCTTTGGAACACAAGGAGCAGCTAGCTTCCTAGTCAGCACTGATTGTGCAACTCCACAAAACTTGTTGTTCAGCATGCTGACCGTAGTTTAAATTCCAGTTCAGAACAGGCACAGGAGGAAGCAACCACAGCTAAGCAAACCCTGAGCAAAGTAGTTCTTAAGCAATGTTTTCAGCCCTGGTTTATCCTTCTGAGAGAGCTTTCTGAAGGGTTTTATGCAAGACAAGAATCAAGGTGTTCATTTATTTTAGACTCCAAAACCTCAGTCTGGCAAACAGGACAACTGACTTTTTTATCCTGCCTTACAGCACTGCTGGAACTTGCAGGGGACACTATAGATTCAGCCTGAGTTTTCATAGGTGTATTTATGCTTAAAGTGACATCAGGACTCCCTTTTTTAATGAAATAGTTTTTAAAGGCAGCTTTGTCTCCTATTTTTGGCCACTGCAGTGTCGTAGTACATTCTGAGCTTTTTTTCTCAGATGCAACCTGAGCTGCCGTTGTCCGCTCAACACAAATTTGTTTTGATGGCCTGTTATAAACCGGCATCACCCTCTTGCCATTTGCAGAACCTTGTTTTGATTTTCCTTCCCTAGCATGAGCAATTTTAACAGGTGATCCACTAACATTCTTGTAAGCTTTTGTATTAGCAACAGATGGTTTAGGAAATTCATGCGTTGAAGCTAAGTTGATTTTCTCACTGGCATCATCAGTATCGTGTGGAAAGAAGATGCCACTACGGGGTGATTTTTCAAATTTTATCTCATTTTTAGGGATTGGTATTGTCCTTACTGCTGAACGATGCTGTGAAGCAGGTGTTTCACTGTTTCTAACACTGTTGCTGAAATCTGTGCATTTTTCTGAGAGTCCACTGTCTCCTCCTCCAAGCCGATATCCCTTTCCACTAAAAGGCATCAGATCTTGAGTACCATGCATTTGTGTCTTGTCTGCAAAATAAGAAAATAAGGAAAGCTAGGAACTTTTTCATATATAAATCATGGGCTTAGTATTTCATGTGCTTCATCCGAAAAATCTGCAGCTTGAAAATAGCACAGCAAACTAAACCTCTTGCAAACAATTAAGTTGAGAAGGAGCCTGGGAATGCACAAATAAAATGGGCCCATCTAAATAAAGCTCACGTAGTGATTGATCTGTATTTGTCTGTATATGGACTGTATGGGCAAAAACAGTCTGAAAAAGAAAAAAAAATTATTTTTAATACCTTTGTTAGTTGATTCAGAATTTGGAAGTTTTGCTGGCTGAGTTTTCTCCTTGGATTTCTTAGAGAAGTTCTCTGGCTCCTTCACTTTTGTGAAGGTACCTCCACAAGTCTCTTGATGCTCAACCCACCAAAAGTCTCGTGCAGAGGGTGCTCTATTCATTGAACGTTTCACATATCCAAAGTAAGGTCTTCTATTTTGACAGGGGCCATTGCATCGCCACCAGTGCTGGCGGTACAAATCCACCTCATCATGAAAAGTATGATAGATCTAGGTTTAAAAACAAAAAAAGCAGTCACTCAAAAAGTTTTTGATTTTATATCACTAGCTCTACAACATGTTTTTAAAAATGGAGTACCATTTCATTCCTTCCATTACTGCTACAATTTTTACATTGCCAATTAAAGGAGCGGAACCTGGATAAAATTTGATCAACATCTAGCTACCATTAAAACAAAGCTTTTTTAAAAAGGCAGTATGGGTAGGAATATGACCTTGGCTATATTCCTTGAACTGCAATGAAGTCACTTCAAGAATCTATCTACAATTTAATCCTATATGACATACTGTTTAGAATGCATTGTAAACAATACCAGTATTGTATCCTCCCTCCAACTATTATATTAACTGATCTTATCAGGCACATTATTTTTAAATATCTTCAACCCTGTACTGGGTCTGGCTGAACTGGAATTGGTTTTCCCCTACAGCAGCCCTCACGGTGCTGTGTTTTATGCTGGGAGCTGGCAGGGTGTTGATAGCACCCTGGTGTTGTGGCTACTGCTGAGCAGTGCTTACACAGCACCAAGGCTCTTTCTGATATTTCCCCCAGTGGGACGGGGTGGGCAAGATCTTGGGAGGGGACACAGCCAGGACAGCTGACCCGAACGGACCAAAGGGATATTCCAGACCATATGACGTTTGCTCGGTATAAAGCTGGGAGAAAGGAGGAAGGGGGTGGGGTCACCCTTGGTCCTCCGAGGCAACCACTACGCGTATTGGAGCCCTGCTTCCTGAGAAGGCCCGACATCGCCTGTCCATGGGAAGTAGAGACTAAATATGTTTGCTTTTGCTTCCGCGCGCGGACTTTTGCTTTGCCTTGCTTATATTAAAACTGCTTTTGTTTCACCCACAAGGGTTAGTTTATCTTCTTTCCCCTCTTTACCCTATTGAGAAAACAAGGGGAAAAGGGGGGGGGAGTGATAGAGCGACTTGGTGGATACCTGGCATTTAGCCAGAGTCAAACCATCACAAACCCATTAGCCTCTACTGATAAAATCTTAACTAAAATAGACTGCCCTTTCCCAAATATTATTCTGAACATGGAGCTATTCTGTCCCTGTTATCATTAAGTTGTTTCAAATTTAGAACAAAACTTTAAAGAAAAATACTTACAGAAAGCAAACCTGAGAATTATACGACTAACAACTCACCACATCTTCCTCAACCTGTTTCCACCATCATTCCCGACAAAATAACTATGGAACTGGCATACACTTGGATGCAAATTTGTATTAGTACCAACTGTGGAGTGTCTAACAAGTATACTACTCATACCACACCAGGCATTCTAAAAACCAAATCAGGAAGAAACTTCTGTTAAATCAGGTTAAGTGGATTATGCTTACTGTGACATTGGCTCCAGTCAAGCGATTAATGCGACGCATGTGTTTGCAAAACTCTGGTCCATGAGATTCACGATCTTTGTCATTATTAGTAACAAAAAGCAGGGCATGGATCATTTCATGCAACAGTGTCTGCAACAATGCAAATCATAAGCTATTTACTGAAAAGCATTAGATATAGTTTTAAAATTAAGCTCGAAATATTTTACTCCCCTACATTTATCTTGTATGGATCTTATCTTCACACATTCACATGTTTGGTCTGGGTCAGAAAAACATTACACTACCTGTCAAATCAAATTACCTCTATTCCCATACCACCAAAACATGCTGGAGAATATTACTACAATAAGTGATATTCCAAAAAAAAGGAGAAATAATCCTCAAACTTAAGTCAAATCTTTAAAAGATCATCCCCTCTACAACCCAAAAAAAAGAGACACTTGGGAGAAAGTTTAAACTATGTCATTTCTGTTCATTAAGCAAATCTGAATGTTGAGCCAACTCAAAGCACCAGCCCCAACAGAGGCACAAGAAGCAACACAAAGTTATGTTTACAGCTGTATCATTATCTTCTGCTTCTGGCCTTTTCAGCTAAAAGATGAAACTACAGCCATTTTCTGAGTGCACTTTCAGTCTATGTTTGGTTTTAATATTAGAGGATAATTTAGAAGTAAAAGAGTTGGGCTTTTCTTCTTTATAAAGTCAGTAAAATAAACAAGTGAATTTTGACTCCTACTCAGAGTTGCCCATTTGGAATTATAAAACTGAAAGACTACCATGATATTGCAACACAAATGCAAGACTAAAGCCACCACTCTTTTACGATCTTTAAGTCACTGTATATAAGAATCCCACCATGAAATGTAAAATGTTTGTATGGAGTGTGGGGGGAGCCACAGTACATTTTATGCGCAGACTCATATGCAATCTTCAAATACCTCAACAAGATCCTTCCTTGGTCTTAACTTTAGGAGCGGCTCACTTAGACGAATGGAACACATTCCACCTCTTCCTTCATATCTACACACTCCAGCACAGCTGAAAGAGACACAGAAAGAAAATATTAAAAGCTCCTTGTTTCTGTAGTAAGTGAAGAAAACTCAGAATTTGAGTTAAAACGCCATCCCCTTCCAACACACTATAGGTAACATGAAAAAGCACTTTTAGTAGTTACTTGAAAAACTCAACATCAGTAAGCAAAAAAAGAGACCACAAGTTCCTTATAAGCAGCTGTGACTCAACTAGAAAAAGTTAACTATTATTTATTAGATCTCTTGCATCACTTAATTCAAAGCTAGCAATCCTGGAAAAAAAAAAAATCAAATCACAATGCCCAGTTCCAAGCTAACCTGTTTAGGAGGCAGATGACTGTTTTCATTAGAACTCCTGATGGAGCAACATAAATAAAACAGAGGCTGGAGATTCACAGCAGCCAACACTGAATTAACTGAAGGTTGCTGCAATTTCACCCCTCACCCTCCTCCAACTTTTGATTCTTACTGAACCTTCATGCATCATCACTTCTGCGTGCTGATCCAGCAGAAAACACATCTTTCTTTTTCTTGTTACTGAGTCAGTCCTCTATCAGTTCAGTATCCAAACATTTCCAAGTGTCTAAAGAGCACTGCAACCAGCAGACGACAAAAGGGGGCAGGATTCCCAACAGCCAGCAATTGCATCAGCTGGGCTGCTGCAGAACTGCAGCCTGCACTTCAAAGCCGCTTTTTTTTTTTTTTTAAATCTCAAATGTCCTCTATATTCCCCTTCCTACTCTAAGTCTGTTAATAGACCACTATCATTTCATATTTGTCTCTCTGCCACGCTGTAAAACTATCTTACAAACTGAGAACAAGAAAAATGACAGCAATACAAGTATGTTATTTTAAGTTTCAACATACACAGTTTAAGACCAAATAATTTATTGCCCTTTAACATCCCTCCAGCTTTGCCTGCACCACGGGAAAAGCCATTTACGGCTGCCAAGGACGACATGTGAAGGACAAACCAGACAATGGCAGTGACCAACCCACGTCCTGGGATACAAACTATGCTAGAAAACCAGGACACTCAAGTATCTAGAAGAGACAGTGGCAATACTATGAAGAAGCGGTGGCACTAGTACATCAAGCTAGTCAGGAGCAGCATATAGCGACACATGGCAGTTCCCTCCCCCTGCCCGAGACCCACAGCTATACGATGAGCTAAGCTGCCGCTTATTTGATGGGTCACGGCCTCTCCCGACAGCCCTGACCAGCACCCCAGCTGCTGCCCGACCCCCTCCCCGCGCCGGGCTGCCCAACCAGCCGGCCCGGCGCACCGATAGCGTACAGGGTCATGCGCGGGCTCCACGACACCTCGACGGCGGCCAGCCGCCCCCAGAAAAGCGTCTCGTTGAACTGCACGAAGAGGCCGTGCACGTCGGGGCTGGGGTCCAGCAGCTCCCAGGCCTCATCCACCACCGACAGCGGGCGGAGGGGCGAGGGGTCGGGCGAGGCCTCAGGGCACGCTGCTGCTGCTGCTGCTGCTGCTGCTGCTGCTGCTGCTGAAGCTGCCGCCTCCTCATCCTCCGCTTCCCACAGCTCCTGAAGCTGCAGCGCCAGCACGAAGTCCTGCTCCATCCCGCCC